CCCTCCCTCCCTCCCTCCCTCCCTCCTTTCCTTCCTTCCTTCCTTCTTTTGAAGACAGCGTCTGGCTGTCCTGGAACTACTTATGTATGCCAGGCTGGCCTTGACCTTACTTGATTCATAACTCTTACAATAATGGATTAACTAATAATAACTCTAAAGTAAAACTAGCAAAGAAAGTCACATTGGAGTATGAAAATCAGATTACAGCTCCAACTTTACGCCACAAGTTTCAAGACATCTTTATGCTACAGTAGAATTAAGGAAGAAAATGGATTACAATTATTCTTATCAAGAGTTTCATACACTGTTGTTGGGATCTTACACAATTCAACAAGCCTTACTAATATATCACAGGAAGAATATTTTTTACTTGATTTAGTTATGTTGCAGCCACAACAACAAAGTCTTCAAGGAAACTATTAATATCAACCTACAATGTTTGGTCTTGGCATAGTATCTCATTATGTAGCTGGCTGGCCTGAAGCTTGCTATGTAGACCAGGTTGGTCTAAGACTCACTGATGTTCAAGTGCTGGGATCAAGAGTATGTGGTACCATGTCCAGCTGCAAATTTACTTACTAAGTGCATGTTTTTTCTCCTCTTTGTTAAAGCCTCCCAGTATGTAATGTTGATAAGATTTACAAGATTTAAAGGTGAGGGGAGTCCTGTTGTTTTAAAAAACAAGATCTCAAACTTTAGATTTACCAAAGACAACTCAGGAGCCAGGTGCTGAGGTGAAAACCTGCTAGCTCAGAGAGGTAGAGAAAGCACTCAACTGACCTTTCAACTTTACTGATATCCCAGAATGAAAAAGCCCTTCTTCTTCTCCTGTCTTAAATCCTTTCACCTCAGTGTTTCTCCCTTCTACTTCCTTATGTTTACTCCCTTTCAACTGGTTGCTTGATCGACTCTTGGCCTATCATTGACTTTATTTAGCTCTTGTTTACAACTACTTGTTTACAGTAAACAGAAAACTCTCGGATAAAAGGTGTGTGCTAGGGCTGGCTTTTCCAGTTCACAATTTGGTGTTCACTGTGTGATCAAATATCTTCCAACAAGGTCCAAGGGCGACTAGGGAGGTGTTCAGTGCTTAAGAGTACTTGTTGCTCTTCTAGAGGAGACCTGAGTTTGTTTTTCAGCACTCACGTAGTCGTTCACTACTGTCTCTAATTTCAGTTCTAGGAGATCTGACTCCTTCTTCTGACCTCTGCAGGTACCAGGCACACACATGGCACACATCCATATACGTAGCCACAGCATTCACTCAAAATAAAATTAAATACATTTTAAAGCCAAGAGAAATGACTAACACCGACATCAGATCTTTTCCTAGGTAAGCTCAAAATGAGTACAGCAACTAAAAAGCTGATGAGACTATTTATTTAACCATTCAAATAATCTCAATTACTGGGTATGGTGGTTCACACCTGTATTCTCAGTTCTCTGGAGACTGAGACAGGAGGATTGCTGTGTGTTTGAGGCCAGCCTGCATGTCATAGTAAGTCTGTCTAAAAAAGGATGAAGCAGCAATGTGTGGTAACCCATACCTTTAATCCTGGAACTTGGGAGGCAGAGGCAGATCTCTGAGTCTACAGAGGCCAGCCTGGTCTATAAATAAAGTTCTAAGACAGCCAAGGATACATAGAATATTCTGTACACCCTCACCCCCAACCCCCCCCCCCAAAAAAAAAAAAGAAGAGAAGAAAAAAGAAAAGCCTTAAGTGCTGGGAATGTAGCTTAGTAGTACAGCGTCAGATTAGCATGCACAAAAGTTCTTGGTTCAGTGTTCTCTTCCAGGGTCTTTAAAAACAGATTTGTAGGGCTGATAAAATGGCTCGGCAGCTAAAAACACCCAATCTTGGCAACCTCTGTTTAATACCCAAAAATAATATAAAGGTAAATGGAGAGAACCAACTTCATGAAGTTGTTGTGTGACCTTCACACATACATACTATGGGATGATATCCCACATACATATATTATGTATACATATGTAATAATAATAAATTTCAAAAGCTTCAATAAAAGTCATTTGCACTAATTGTGAACTAAGGTATAGTATACTTGAAATCTGCATTTAAAGTTACCTCTATAGTGGGGATACCATTTGTTATTCATTGCTTTGTGGGGAAGGAACATTTTGGAGACTCATGAAACCTAGGCTGGACTCCCAACTCACTGTCTCATGAGGATAACTGAACTTCTGACCTTTCTACAATCATGTACCAAGTTCTGGGATTACAGGTGTATTCTACCACACCCACTTTTTATTCAATTTGTGGAGCTGACCGGAGGGTCTCAAGTGTGCTAGACAAACATTCTATCTGCTAAGCTACTACCCTCTACTCTTGTGATCTATAGTGTGTGAAACGTTTCCCAACAAATCAGTTTTTTAAAGCTAGAAAATTGATCTCATAAAGAAATTTTGCCATAGCTGGGCGGTGGTGGCGCATGCCTTTAATCCCAGCACTTGGGAGGCAGAGGCAGGTGGATTTCTGAGTTCGAGGCCAGCCTGGTCTACCGAGTGAGTTCCAGGACAGCCAGGGCTACACAGAGAAACCTGTCTCGAAACCACCCCCTCCAAAAAAAGGAAGGAAATTTTGCCATAAAGGAGTCTATTTTAAGTACACTAGTCAAATAATGGGTCATGTTGACTGTAAGAAACAGAGGCAACAACGTTGTTCAGGGGAGGGAGGATTAGGTTGTTCAGCAAAAACTTTGAATGTGTTTTAAAGATACTCTATGTGTATTTGTTTTTGTTGTTTCAGGAGGACAAGTGTGAGGCCAGTACACCTTTGACTCAATGGGGCTTAATTGGTAAGTAAGCGAGTGGGAAGAATCCTTTGTTAGTGTATCAGAAGGAAGAGAAAGCTCAAGTTTGGAATCTTCTGGCTAGATTGAACTGTCTAATACAGTAATAACCGTATCTCCTCTGCTCCCAGCGTCCTCTATAAAAAGCAATAATTACTCTTTTAGAAAGCAGGCATATTAAGGTTAAACCTACTCAAGAAGTAATTTAGTACCTAGAGCTAATCATTAAAAAAGAAAAATCTAAATGCCTTTTAAAAGTTGATATGCCTTTAAGTATAAATGTCATTCCTCTGCTTAAATGGCCTCTTATTGCTTCTGGTGACCTTTAAAAAAATGCTGAACAATGGACTCCTGCGAACTCTTCACATGGTGATTATGATGCCCCCTACCTTATTTATTGGTCTCTCTTTACCAAAAGCCTTTCATCTATAGACTGATACTGCCTATATCTGGACACACTCTCTCTAGCTCTTGATGAGGCTCCTGTCCTTCATGACACTATTAAAGATGGTAACTTAATGAGGCTGAACATCCTTTTTCTGACCCCAGAGCAGTACCTTGTGCTGGAGATCAGACCCAGGACTTTATGCATGTTAGGCAGGTCCTCTGTCACTGAGCTGTAGTAGTTATAGCATCTATATGAAATTCATCCTTTAGTCTTAAATTCATTATTTCAGCCACAGTTGTTTAATTTACACCATGATCCCAACGTTTGTTGTTCTTTTTTTGTGTGTGATCATTTGTGGTGGTCTTTCTATTTTTTTTTTAAGCATTTTATTGATTGCTTGAGAATTTCACATCATGTACCCCAACCCCACTCATCTACCTCTCCCCTTGTACCCACCCTCCATCTTTGCAGCCTCCTCCCCCAAACCCCAGCAGAGAAAGAAAAAAATCTTACTTTGGAAGCTGCAGTGTGTCCAACAGTACACCCTTTTGTGTACACTGCTTTGCTAGTAAATCTTTGTCAATGACTCATTGGTCTGGTACGAGGTCTCTGGTTTCTGTTACAGTACTGGAACCTCACTAGGACTCCTCTTGAGTATCCTATTGTTGCCCTGTCGCATGGAAATCCTGTAGTTTTGGATCTGTAGGGCCAGCCCTTCAAGTGCACTCCAGCAGTTCATGGATGGGATAGATGTTGGGATGGGCCAGTTGAAATCCCTGGATCTGGGCCTGAGAATACAGTATCTGAGCTTATCAGCCTGCTGGCTCTTCCTGTCTCTCACTCCCTCAGGCCCAGCTTACCAGCAACCCTCTCAACCAGAGCCATCTCTACCAGTGCTGACCAGGTGAAGTGTAAGGTCTGCTCTCCAGAGTGCTGGAGCAGGGTCAACTCTCCTGTTCTCATGATCCCAGGGCCAGGTCTCCTACCTGCCTGCTGTGGTGAGGGCAAAAAGGAGGGAAGGGATATCTCCCTTACCCATGTCATGCCATGGCAGACAAGTGTTGGGGTCAGCTCTCCTATGCTCATGCCCTTGGTCACCGGAGTCAACAGTCACAAACAACCTCTGTCACCAAGGTCAGCTCCACTGTGCTGCCTAGGCAAATGCAGGGCACATTCTCCTAAGTGCTAGAGCTGATAAGGAGCAGGACCACAAGAAATAGGTAGTAGGACTGGCTCACCAGCAACTCCTGCAATGTGTGGGGCCTGCCTTGCTGAGTACTGCAGCTGCCTAGGGGTGGGGTCAGCTTCCTGCTGGATGCCCTCAAGGCCAGCTCTCCCACTGTGCCCAGGTGAAGGGTGGGACCAGTTCTGCACTTTTAGACATCAGCATGTCTCAGGACAACAACCCAGACCAAGGATGTCTGCCTGGCTTTTGGTGGTAACAGACCCCTGCTGCTGCAGGGTTAGGACCCCACCAGGTCCCAGGCGGCATCACTGGTTATGCACATCAGGTTGTTCCTCACTATACTCAAGCCTCCCTCTCTTCACTGTGCTCACATCTTCCTGTCTCTGTTTCATTTCTCCACCACTTACTTGTTCTTAGTTGGGCCCCGGGTCTCGGAGTGTCTGGGATCATTTCAGGAGTGCAATGCCCTGCTCATCCGTTATGTTGCCAAGCAGGGTCTGCTCTACCAGGCCTGTATGGAAATAAACTGGTGGTTATTTCAGGGTCACTTTTTTTTTTTTTTTAAGAATTTTAGGCTACTAATCCTTCAGATGTTCATAGGTCAGAACACTGAGTGTCGACACAGCTTCTCTCCTCTCTGCCACCTACTGATATATATGTGATACATCAGCCACACCTGCAGTGCCTCTAGGGGCCCCTTCTATATTCTAAACTCTAAAACCAGAACAACTATAAATGTTGAGTTCACTGTTACATTAACATCAACTATCCCAGGTTTAGATACATAGAAGGTACTTTGTAAATATTTGTTAATTTAATTGACTAGGACTGGAGAGTTGACACAGCATTAAAGAGCACAAACTGCTTCTTCAGAGGACCTGAGTTTAGTTCCTAGAACCTGTATAAGTAAGGCAGCTCATATTTGCCTGTAACTTCACCTCTTATCTGACACCCTTTTTGGTCTTCATAGACAACTGAATGCACATGGGCAACCCCCCACACAGATACACATTCTTTCCCCTCCCTTCCCCCTCCTTCCTTTCTTTACTATTTTGTTTTTCAAGACAGAGTTTCTCCTTGTAATCCTGGCTGTCCTAGAACTGTAAACCAGGCTGGCCTCAAACTCACAGAGATCCATCTGCTCTGCCTCCTGAGTGATGCGAATATAAGTGTGACATATATTCTTACACATAATTCAAAAACAATTTTTTTAACAAAAAAGAGAATGCTTTGTCTAAGTATAAGAATAACATACTTGTCATTTTCTTTTTGGTGTTTAGAAACATCAAACTCCTTAAGCAAGTGCTGTTCTTCTATAGAAGTCCCATGAGAAAATGGAATGCATATGTGTGCATTGTTTTTTTCTAAAAATAGTTCTTCAGCTGGAGATGGTGTCTTAACTCCTGTAATGCCAGCCTGGGTTACATAGTTCTAGATGAGCTTGAGTTATATTGAGATATTGTCAAAAAAATCAGAACAATACAAACAAACAAGGATAAGAGCCAGTATTCTGAAGAAATAAAGCATGGCAGATAATAATGAATGCCTGTAGCTCAGAACTCTGGAAGCTCAGGATTACAGGATTACAAGTTTGAGGCCAGCCTGGGCTACGGTAAGATTCCTGTCTCAAAATAACCCTCTTCACCCAAAATAATCAAGGATCTTCCAAAGGAGAATAACCAGGAACAGTTATTAGATAGGAAGAAAGTTAGGAGGAAGTGACAGCAGAGGGTAAAGGAGAAGAGAAAGCCCTGTGCCTGAGCTGAGAAGGAGACAGGTCTCCTAGCATATGAGGCCTAGGATTTAAATCCCAGCATTCCAAAGAATCAAAAATGATAAAGGCTATAAAGTGTACATGGTTTAGCTTCAAATATATATGATTACTATGACAAAAGAAAGATTTAGTTGGTTTGAGGAGATGAAATTTAAAATGCATTTATATATTATTGAAGACTGTGGAAATAAAAAGAGAACACATGATGTGTTTGTGTAAGTCTTGTAGGAGAGAAGATGGTAGGTAGGAAATGATGACCAGGAGATGTCACTGTAATGGAAAAGTTCCAAGGAGAAGAGGAAGGTGGTACGGTGAGAGAGTGTTCAGTGAAGCTTATTAAGTAACTTGCCTCAGGCTCTTCATTGAGATGAGAAGGTAAATAGTTTTATAGACCTGTTTTGCTAGTTTGCTAGTAAAAAATTGGGGAAACTTCATCTTTCAATTTAAAAAAGTTATCTATATCTCTGTGTGATGTACATCTGTGTAGGGCACATGTGAATGTATGTTTGTATGTATTCCCATGTGTTAGGAGGCCTGAGTCTGGCATCACAGATCTCCGGTGATTGCTGTTCTCCATATTCATACACAAGCATGTTAATATTAAGCCTGTTTTAAAAAAATGCTTCTATTAAAAAACAAAACAAAACAAAAAAACTCTTCTTAGCTAGGCCTGTGAATGCAGCTCAGTGGTAGAATGCTTGACTAACACGCACAAGGCCCTGGATTCAAATGAAGTTGGAGATTTCATGAGTTATTTTGAAGTTCTATTAACTAGAGTATTGGTGAAATAAACCAAACAAATCAAAGAAATGGAATAGATGCCCATAAATGGATTGGCATAAATATGGGCACACTGGTTTTTCACAAAAGAGCAAAGGTAATTCTAGGAAAACCACACATATTCATGAGTCTCACATGTACGTAGGCACATACATACACACACAGATTCTAGATGTAGACATACATCACAGTTTTCTCACAGTTTAACTCAAGCTGAAAGTAGTGTTGCATGCCTTTAATCTCAGCACTTGAGAGGCAAAGACAGGCAGAGATCTCTGTGAGTTCAAGGCCAGCCTGGTCTACAGAGTGAGTTTCAGGACAGCCAGGGCTACACTGAAAGCAGTTAAGAACATGGCGAATTGCTTTTCTGAGGACAAACATGGTTCCCAGCAACATAGCAGTTGGCTCACAACTGAAACTCCAGCTCCAGAGCATCCCAATACCCTCTTCTGGCCTCCACAAATATCTGCCTGAATGTACACACATACACAGGTGTGCACATACACATAATGTCCTTTTCTGGCCTTTGTAGGTACCATATACATAAATAAAAAAAATTAAAAACAAAAAATGTTTTGGTGCTACAGTTTCTTTTTTGCAAAATTGAATCCATCCATTTCCATTATCCCCACTCTTTAGTGTTCATCAGTCTATTTCAGTTCTTATATTTGTCCACATTTCTTCATTTAAAAGAAGACATAGCTCAAAGGTAGAGAGTGCTTGCTGTATAATCTTGACTAGAGCTCAGTTCTCAGCACCCACATAAAAAAGCCAGGTATCAAAAGCAGGGAGGGAGCCTAGAGAGATAGTTCAGTGGTTAAGAGCACTGACTGCTCTTACAGAGGTCCTGCATTCAATTCCCAGCAACCACTTGGCGACTCACAACCATCTATAATGGGATCTGATGCCCTCTTCTGGTGTGTCTGAAGAGAGGGACAGTGTGCTCATACACACACACGCACACAGACACACACGCACACACACAACCATCTATAATGGGATCTGGTGTGTCTGAAGAGAGGGACAGTATGCTCATACACACACGCACACACACACATGCGCGCGCCTTTTTTTAAAAAAAGCCAGTATCCTGCAAATGTCTGCAACTTGCTTCTGAATTATCCGACTCCCTCTTCTGGCCTCTGTCCTTCCACAAGCATACTAACTACTTCAGCAATGAAAACTTGTGTCTAGTGCTAGAGAGATGTAGCTCAGGGTTAGGAGCTCTTACTGCTGTTCCAGAAGATGTATGTTCCCAGCACTCACATCAATTAATAACTACCTCTAACAGCTCTAAGGAATCAGCATGTTCTTCTGACCTCATAAGTGCATGTACACACACATACAGTAAACAGAAAATAAATTCTAAGATAAGGAGGCCCATGCACTGGGTGAGTGGTGGTATAAGCCTCTAATCCAAGCACTTGGGTGACCAAGTCAGGCAGATCTCTGAGTTTGAGGCCAGCCTGGTCTACAAAGTGAATTTCAGGACAAGCAGAGCTATACAAAGAAACCCTGTCTCAAACAAAACAGAACAAAAATTATATAGGCTAAAATTAAGCTTGATAACGTCTTAGTTTTATTATAGTTCTTAATACATGATTTTTATTTTGGCTGAACTGAGTTATAGTTGTTTTGTTTGTAGTTTACTTGTTCTATAGTATTTGTGTTTAGTTTTTGAGAGAGCATCTTTTGTCACTCAATCTGCCTTTAAACTGTCTATGTATCAAGACTGGCCTTGGTCTACTGATGCTTCTATCTCCACCCTCAAGTACTGGGATTGCATGTATGCACCACCGTGCCTGGCTTTAGAATTGGAGTTTTTAAACTAACTTTTGATGCAACTATAAAGGTTCAAATAAATGTGTTCACTATAATATGTGATATTTATTAAATATTAAATGACTAATGATTTATTCAGTAGGAAAATAGACACCTTTTAACATCTCCCTGTCTGGTAAGAATAAAAGAGTGCGAATAATACGATAGTAGAAGCATATGGTTTGTCTTTTTCTGTTTTCCTTGGAAGCCTTAAAAAAAAAAAAAAAGTCAGGCTGTGATGGCATACTGTCCTAGAACTTGGGAGGAAGAGGCAAGCAACTTTCTTTTTTTTTTTTTTTTTTTTTTTAAAGAGTTATTTGTTTTATTTATATGAGTACATTGTGGATATCTTCAGACACACCAGAAGAAGGCAACAGATCCCATTACAGATGGTTGTGAGCCACCATGTGGTTGCTGGGAATTGAACTCAGGACCTCTGGAAGAACAGTCAGTGCTCTTAACCACTGAGCCATCTCTCCAGCCCGGCAAGCAACTTTCTAAGTTTGAAGCCAGCCTAGTTTACAGAGTGAGTTCCTGAACAATCAGAGCTACACAGAAACCCTGTCTCAATAAACCAAAAAATAACATAAAGTAAAACAAAACAAACAAACAAAATGTATAAATTGAGCATGGGTCCTTGCCAATGCTAGGCAAGCATCCTATTATTGATCTATATCCCCAGCCCAGAACTCCTCCTCCCCCTTTTAAAGGTTAAAATAAAATTTACTTTGTATGTTCTATTCAATCTGCTTGTTTTTATGTTATCTACTAGTAACTGTTAAAACAAGACATTCAAAATATGATAGTGATGATAATCTGAAAGTCCAGGCATTAGTTGAATGTGCATATGGGCTGCATATTCTATTTGTGTCCTGAAACAATGTATACTATAAGGAAAGAAAATGTCTCTGCCAGTCTCTAACATACACGTCTTCAACAATTAAAACAAATCTATATAAATAAAACATCTTCAGTTTTACTTTGCTTTTCTTTCTCCATTACTGTTTTATTTGGATAAAGGACAACCAGAGAGTATTGAGTACGTTTAGAAATGAGCAGAAATAAGGATTTGTTCTGTTGTTCATGTAGGCAATTGATTTTATTAATAATAATTAGTATTGTGGAAATTCCAATGTCATCATTTTACAGTTTTAACACAAAAATAAATATCAAATGTAATAATATAAAAATTATTTTAGCTGATATTGTGCTATAAGCACACATCCTTGTATTGGGTTAGTTATTGTGTGTCCATTAACATCTCCCAGCTTTGTACCTGTGATCGTATTGTAGGGTGTTAGAAGTGAAGTATTTGTAGGAAGCATTTGTAGCCTAGAAACCTTTCCTGTTATTTAACAGCGATAACTGTTGTACCCTGGTAGTTGGCTGGGCATCATACACCTTTAGTTCCAGCACTGCAGAGGCAGAGGCAAGTGAATCTCTCCTGTCTAAAAAGGGGGGGGGGAGAGGATATTTTCTTTTTAAACGAGTATTAACAGTTGTTACACTATAATGGTCCAAACAGAAGATTTCTAGCCGGGTGGTGCTGGCGCACGCCTTTAATCCCAGCACTTGGGAGGCAGAGACAGGTGGATTTCTGAGTTCGAGGCCAGCCTGGTCTACAGAGTGAGTTCCAGGACAGCCAGGGCTATACAGAGAAACCCTGTCTCGAAAAAAAAAAAAAAACAGCAACAACAACAACAACAAAAAAACAAAAACCAACCAACCAAACAAAAAAAAAAAAACAATAAAAAAATTTAAAAAAAAAAGGAAGATTTCTGACACCTGAAAAGGTATGGAGATTCTCCTATCAACAAGTAAAGAATTAATTCTGCAGAGGTAGACACAGCCCTGATGTCCTAACTCTGGTCTAACACTGTCAACCTTGAAACTGAGTCAAATCCCTAAAACTGTCTTTCCTGAGTTGAGATTCCCTTCTATGTCTCTGGTTATTTTGCTTGTGATTTTGACCAACTGGTCATAAGTAGCTCCCTTGTACCTCACTTCTGAATTCTGTTGTTTTGAGTAGCTCACAAAACTCATCCAAACATAATTATGATTTGCTGGTTATCAAGTGTGTCATAAAAGATACAGATGAAGAGGTGCACAGGCATTGGGGGTGTAGGGTTTCCACCTCAGTGTCTAGAGGATCTGTCCTTTTGAGTTGTTATGGATACTTAATTGCATAGTCATGATTGAAGCATGTAAAAATATGACTGGACAAAAAGGACGATGATCTAATGCCAATAGTGGGAAAACCCAGTGAAACTTCATGTTCATATTCTCCTGGACCTCTCTACAGCTTTTATTCTTTCGGAGTAGGAGGCTGTTCTTTTGAAATGTGGTGTGGGGTGGTGGTCTTACAATCCACGATCATACTGTCAGACAGGTTAGAGCTGCGGATTTCTTTATGGTCATTTTCAAAGCTGGGGAGATAAAAGTATATTTTGGTTTGTGTGACTTACCTTGGAGGGAGAGAAATTGTAGTTTCTATGGTGTTTGCTTTGGGGAGAAAAGGAGATGAGAGAAAATAAAGGTGAAATAGGTCCTGTTCTCTGAGGCATATTCTGGTCACTTAGGAAGAAACCATGGCTATGTGAGTAAAGAGCCAGGACCATGGTCAAAATCCAACAGATACCATGACATCACGAGGACATGCGTATCAGATGCGGCAATAAAATGATCTTATTGTCAACTTTTGGGTTGGGCTCAGTTTTTATGTGAGACTCTGGAAAATTCTAATGGGGATAAAGGTTAAGACTTTTTAGTTTTATGGCTTTATTTTCAATTGGGGTTCCTATTCAGAATAAAAATAAATATTTTTTTAAAAAATGCAGCACATAAGTTTTTGCCTCTCCTCCCTTGCCTTTCCCTTTTTCTTCCCCTCCCCTTTCCTTCCCCTTCCTTTCTGTTCCTCTGCCCTCCCTCTTGTTTTTCTTTCTCCCCTCCCCCTCCCCTCCCCCTCCCTTCCCCTCCCCTCTCTTCTTTCATCAGGGTATCTGTCCTGGGAATCACTCTGTAGAATCCACCTGCCTTTGCCTCCCTCCCAAGTGCTAAGATTAACGGCATATGCCACCATTCCTCATGCCACTCTTTTAAAGCAGAATTGGGGTTTTATGAAATATATTATCTGCTTAAACATAAGGGTTAAAAGAGAGGCACTTGGTGAGAAACAACACCAGAGAGCGTTAAGTGTGGGCTTCTGAGAGACTGCTGCCAGTTTGTACGTTTTGGATTGCATGATTGCTGCCAGTGCTTGGTAAATGGTGAGTAGAGGGAAGAGAAACACTGAAAAGCCTCATTTCTAATGAGTTCTAGATCAATTGTACAAGGACAGCTTTGAATTAAATTGTCTACAGTTTATTTAATTTAGCATTAACCCTTTCTGCTGAATACCCTGTTACACAGTCAATTAAGAAAACAACTAAGCAAATATTTTCTTTTTGGCTAAATGACATTACTAAAAGAAATCTTTCCTATTAAATACTTAAGTGTGTTCCCTTAGTGTCCTGATTTGCAGTTTACTTAGATTGTGTTAACTTGTAATTAATCCAGATGGTTAACATTTTGAAAGATATAAAACCAAAACCTATTTCAGGGAGCTCTGAAATATCACTGTACCATTGGATAAGGTCCATTCTAATTAGTGACTTTCTCAGTTTGTTTTAAAAATTATTTTTTAACTGTAATTTTCTTGGTTTTTATCCAGGTTACAAAATGTCCTCTTATGCATGAGATCTACAGACTATATGTTCTTCAAGAACTGATCAGTGGTTTTCACCTTCTGGAAGAACATTAGAAGCATAAATATGGTGCCAAAACTCCTCATTCTCTGACTGGTGATTTGGACATACTTCTGTGTTGAAGAGAAGTATACACACTGAGGTCACTCATTGTTCAGAGACTGTTGTGTAGGAACATGGACCATTCTAATAGGGAAAAGGATGATAGACAACGGACAACTAAAACCATGGCACAACGGAATACACACTGTTCCCGACCATCTGGCACTTCAACATCCTCTGGGGTTCTCATGGTGGGACCCAACTTCAGGGTTGGCAAGAAGATAGGGTGTGGGAACTTCGGAGAGCTCAGATTAGGTAAGATCTTGCTTATGTCTGTGGCTTTTACTAACAACCATAACGTTCTCTGGTGTGTTTCAAGATAAGGAGGTGATTGAGAACTTTCTCTTAATTAGGTCTTACTGACATAAGAAATAAGGATTTTGCAAAGGAGTCTATAGTTATTATCAGTCTTGGCTTCCCTTTATGTGTGATAGGATTTTTAGTTTTCTACCAATTTTGAGTTTCTATTTATTAATATTTAAATTATTATTATTATTGGTTTTTTAAGAGAGGATTAACTTGTGTAGCTATTTTAGATCTTGCTTTGTAGATTAGGCTGGCCTTGAACTTAGAGATCTGCCTGCCTCTGCCTCTTGAGATTAGAGTTCATCACCATGCCCTGCTGTAAATTTTTTTAAACCTATTTATTTTTAAAGATTTTATTTATTTTATGTATATGAGTACACTGTAGCTGTCTTCCGACACACTAGAAGAGGGCATGTGAGCCACCTTGTGGTTGCTGGGAATTGAACTCTGGAAGAGCAATCTGTGTTCTTAACTGCTGAGCCATCTCTCCAGCCCAAAATTTTTTTTTTCTTTTTTTTTTTTTAATTTCTTTTTTTTTTTTTTTTTTGAACATGAAATGCTTTTTTATAGCATGTTTTACAAGGGGAGGGGGTAAGAGGGTCCAGGTGGTGGAAAAGTACAAAATCTTCTTGGCCTGTGCCTTGAAACATGTCATGGTCTATATGGTACACTGCCTTGAATTATGATCTACCTGCTGTTCTTCAGAAGATATGGTACACTGCTTGAGTTATGGTCTCCCTGCTATTCTTAAGAAGACATGGTACTCTGCTTTGAGTCTATCTGCAGTTGCTAAGCAGGATCTTGCAGTTGCCAAGCTTCAGAGGACATTGTGCAGGTGGGGAAAGGTAGGGGGTAAGGGTAAGGGCGAGGGTCCTGGCTTCTGGCATCTCCCCCTTCTCTGTTTAGTTAGAGAAGGCGTCTTATGTTCAATCCCAACTATGTGAGTTTTGAATTTGGATGTCTAATTATGGGGGGGTCTTAGACAAGTTCACAACCCCAAAACACTGATGTGAGACGAGTCACATCGATGGTCGAAGGCTTTAGGTTGTCGACGATGGGCAACGTCAAGGGACTCTGATGTGGGTGAAAGGAGGGTGAGAGCCCTGTCTTAGGCCATGTAGGCTGCACCCACTCCCAGCACCACGCACTCCTTTTTGGCTGCTTTGGGTGGGCCCCTGGGAAGTGGACCTACAATAATCCCGTCATTGGGCTAACTCACAGCCATCCTAGTCTCTTGTAAATGTTCAAGTTACCAACCATTTGTCAGTTTGGGGTGTCCAAAATTTTTTAATTTTGAGATAAATTTTGTTCTGTGGCTCAGGCTGACCTTGAACTCATTATATAGCCCATACAGGCCTCAAACTTGTAACTCTTTTTAACCCAGCATCCTATGTGCTAGGGTTATAAGTGAACATTACCATATCCAGCTCAAATATGAATTTGTGATTAGGTGATAAATAATGACAGTTGACCAGCTGGAAGATGTAAGATTGAGAAGAAGGTATACCGGGAATGTATATGCTCTTTTAATTCCTATGCTATTTTAGTGCAGAAATGAAATTTGTTAATTTGTTTTTGAAACAGGACCTCACCATTCAGCCCTGGGTGGCCAGGAACTTACTATGTAGACCATGTTAACCTCGGCCTTCTAGATATCCTTCTGCCTCTACACTCTCCCTTCCTCCTCCAACCCCTCATCAGTGCTAGGAATACAGGCATGTTACCACCACCCTAAACAGAAAGTAGACCTTGTAAAGTTAAGAAAGACCTTGTACGTGGAGGATGTAGAAAGCTGAATCTTTTTTTTAAAAAAAAAAATCTTGATGTACATCTGTCTGTGTGAGTCTATTCTGTGTATATGCAGGTATTCAAAGGAGGTAAAAACGAGAGCCTTAGATCCTACGGAGCTAGAGGTACAGGGAGTTGTAAGCCATCTTGTATGTAGATGCTGGCAACGAAACTAGGGTCCTCTGGAAGAGCAGTAAGCACTCTTAATTAGTGAGCCATTTCTCCAGCCTCTAAATAGTTGTTGAAGCTATGGATTATTATGAAAATTATTCATAATTTGGACTATTTTGAGGGTAGAAACATGAGATGATTGGGGTGTTTTTGTTTAATTTTTGTTTTTTAGCCTCTGGTTTTGATAATTATGTAAAAGAATGGAAAAAATTATATACCTATGATTACTTTTTTCAGTCCTTAGCGAAACATCACTATTCTATCTACACATCTCCAGGTACAGAATTGGATTGAAGATGCTAAGAATGAATTCATTTTTAATTATAGAACACTAGCAACCTAGAATTGAACCTGACTAGGATAATAAAAAGGCCTTCATATTTAGAGATGTGTTCATGCTCCAGTTAGCTAAGCTAGATGCTACTGTGAATAGAAGGTGTGTAATTTCATACCAAATGCCTTCCTAGCAACTACTCAGTTGCTTCAGCAATTAGTTTTGCAAACATTCTATGTGGAGTATGTGGGTATGTACACATGTACACACACACACACACACGTCTTTCACCATGTACACATGGAGCTTTTGGATTTTGAGAAGACAAAACTTTGTTAAATCAGTTTTTCTTTCCACTTTTATGTGGATTCCAGCAAACAAACTTAGGCTGTTAAGCTTGCATGACCTGCTACATTGATCATTATCTAAAGTAAAAGTGTTTGTTTGTTTCCTGTAGTGACTTCTTCTTACTTGGTCTTTTCCTTTTTCCTTTTTTTAATGTGGTGTTTTATTTGCTTAGGCTGCTCTCCAATTGCTGTGCAGCCTATGCAGACCTTGGACCTTTGATTCTTGTCTTTATCTCCCAGATGCAAGTGGGTATCATGGTGTCTCTCCTTTCAAGTGCAGTGATTTTTTTTCTGAGTATTTTTAATTACTTATTAAGTAGATTGTCAGATAGGTAGACAGAAGGGACAAAGTATGCTTTCTTTGTTCTTTCCCTATGTGGCAATAGTAGTAAGCAGTAGTCTTATTGTTTGAGTATACATACAGAACACAAACAAACAAAAAACATTGGCTGGGTTGGCCTATCCCCCCCAGTCCCAGTTCTTGTTTTCTCCTTCACCATTTTTGAAACATTGTTTAACTATGTAGTATCCTACCTCAGTCTTCCAAGTGCTAGAATTTTATGTGTGATGCTACTCCTTGCCTTATCAGTATATTTTGATTCTCAACTGTTTCTTGAATATTTCCTAATGTCAAGTTTAGGGAAGATTACATAGAGTAGAATGTGGTTTCTGTTTCTAAAGATACTACTGTCTCCTGGTACAAAGAGAAAGCCAAATTATAATACAAAACAATAAATATGATAACAAGTTGTATAGAAACCACATCAGCAGACATAAATGAAGGTTTTAGAAAGGAGTTATTTGTAATACTAGTTTTGCTGCTAGACATTAAGGAGGGACTCTTTCCAGTTGCAGGATACAAAATTGCCAGGTGAGAGTACTCAGCGTATTATCAGTGCAACAGAGGATTATAAATAGCTTGGTCAAAAGATGTGAAGTCAAACAAAGCAATAGATGTGCTGTCAGGTAAGTAAGGGCCAAATTATGAAGTGTTTCTGTGACTCGGTGGAATAGAATCACAAAGGATCTCAAAGAGAAATGACGCAGACTCATTAACATAGGAAAGAAGATAACAGTGTCTGGTCCTTCCTCTAAGTGTGCTCCTTACTGCATTGTACTTTGTTCGATTCCAGGATATGTTTGTGTCTCAGCACTGTTTTCATAGCCATAACTCTTTTCATTATGTATGATATATAATGTATACTCAAAAAAATGGTTGGCTGGAGGCCTGGAGATATGGCTTAGAGCACTGGTTGCTTTTCAAGAGGTACCAGGTTTGATTTCATTCAAATGGCAGTTTACAACTCTCTGTAACTCCAGTTCCAGGGGGATTGAACCTTCTTCTGGTTTCTGCAAACACTGTACACATGTGATGCACAGCCATACATGCAGGTAAAACACCCATAAACATTGAATAGATGGATGGATGGGATGGATGGATGGGTAGATGATAGACAGATAGATAGATAGATCTAGCTGGCTAAGTAGATAAGTAGATAAATAGGTCTAAGCTACTTTCAGCCAGCCATTTTTTTTTTTTTTTAAAGAAAAGGCTAAGTGAATAAGCCAAGTTATCATCTAACTTTTGGCAGTAGCAAAAGAGATTAATTCAAAACTTCAGGACTAGCAGGAATTGGTTAGTTCTAGTTCTTTGAGAGGAAAGGGTCAGTATTTACTTACTAGCTTAAGGAGACCTTATGAATAAAGAAGGCTTTAATGAAGTTAGCAATAAAGGACTAGGGTGGGTGATATGATAAATGTGTACAATAGTTTGTTACTATATTAACTTTGACAAGTATGTGGCACAAACATAGTCCCTAAATTCCTATGTACATGTGTTTCGATTATTTAAAAAGATTTGGCTTGATACTGGAATTAAGAAATCACTATGGCTTCTCTGGCAGTGGTGGGACAGGCCTTTAATTACAGATCTCAGGAGGCAGAGGCTGGCAGATCTCTGTGAGTTTGAAGCAAGCCCAGTCTACAGAGCTGGTTCCAGGACAGCCAGGGCTACATAGAGAAATCCTGTCTAAAAAAATAAAACAAAACAGCAACAACAACAACAACAAATAAAAGAAAGAAGTCACCATGATGGTTGGTGAGATAGCTAAGGTTAGGAGTGTTTACTGCTCTTGCAGAGGACCCAGGTTTGGTTCCTAGGACCCACACTGGTGGTTCCTAACTTCCTATAACTCCAGTTCCAGGGAAGTCTATGCCCTTTGGCTTCCTCGGGTATATGCATGCCTGTGGTATACATAAACTCACACATGTGCACACACATATACTTACACACAATCTAAATTAATATGTGGAAATGGCTCAGCTAGGGTAGGAGTTCCTGAACTTCTCCCCTTCGTGCTGGTATTTTG